TACACTTCATGAGGCGGCACAAAGCTTGCCGTCACTCTGGATTGAGCAACAGGCTCCGGGAAAACTGCACATGTAGATTTTTCTTGTGTTTTACTTGTTTATGTTTGATTTATTGTGTGTGATTTTGGTCAAATAATCATTTTGTGTTTAACTCTCACTCACCGCACAAACATGAAATTAGGGGTGGGGGGTAATCATGGTGAGCCAGCGGGCCTTCTTAGGCGTCTTAGGGTGTAATTGCGTGACAGAAGGCGTGGTGATGGTGCACAGCCCCCAGCTCCCAGGCAGGCAGCCGCTAAGGTCCTCAGAACACGTTTCACTGGAGTAATTGATCTGAACGCCCTTTTCATTTTTCCCTCGAAAAAAACGAATTCATACAGCCTGTGACCGCCAACTGAGAAAAGCACAGAAAACACATCGCAGACGTACGGAGAGATTCCGATGTCTGAAAAGTAGCAGTAGCTGTCATGTCGAGAAGAGGAACATGACACATCGACAGACAGAGCCCTTTGAGGTGCGCCGCAAATTCGCATGTAAATATTGCAACACGCCAAGTTCCTGGTGCCTTTCCATGCAATGTGCTCTTCCTCGGATAGCCTGACCGCTTCATCGACTATTCTCTCTCGGTTCGTCTTATTCCGTGTAAATATTCCGTAGCTTTGAGCAACGCTGCTTCGTCGCAGTAAGCGCCCTGTGTTTCCCAGTCATGAGCTGTTTGGTGCCTCCTTTGTGTTTCGCTATGAGTCATCAGTCAGTGATAAGCCTGGGAGCGGTAATCAGTCACCGGACGCTTTTCCCCTTAGGGATCAGGCACTGGATGAGCAGAATTCCCAGGCGCTGGCTGCTAGTGGAATCGTACAGGTGCATTTGGCTCCATAAGCTTTACAGATTTTCAGACACTAGGGGGCGATGGGCAGCAGGTAGTATAGCGATTGACATGGACTCAAAGGCTATTGGACTGGAGAAAGGGCCCAAGCTCACAGATTTCGAAGAGGTGCGTGTAATATCGTATTTCAAAGCTTGCTTTTATCGTTGGTCCATATGCTCAGTGTGAGGCTGTTACTGGGAGTTGGCACGTCGTGGTGATGCATAGAAGCAGATAAAGCATGAATAATGGACAACTGAAGTCCTATGTTTTTTTTGTTTTTTTTTTAAATAAAATAAATATATTGCAAAGGAGGCAAAACATCATAAATATGTAAGCCTCACTGCTCTTCTGCTTGTCCCAGAAAGTAGATACCAGACCTCTGAAGAAGCTTCTCCCGACAAACCTGACTGAGTAGCGTTATATGTATCATTTACAGATAAATGTTTGGGGAAGGACAAAGCCTCATTTGGTCGGTCACAGGAAATTTCAGCTGTCGCCAAGCAGACAGTGCAAATGGATGACCCCCCCCCCCCCCGACCCTGTTTTTGGCCAGCAGCATCTCTGAATAGAGCTTTTACTTTTAGTATGTAAATACTAAATGTGCGCAGGGGCACATGCAGACATACAAGCTTCCCAGTGCGTGCGCAGACGCGCGCATACAGATGCTACGAACACCATCACGGTGCGCAGACGCGCGCATACAGAAGCTACGAACACCATCACGGTGCGCAGACGCGCGCATACAGATGCTACGAACACCATCACGGTGCGCCCGACCCTCCGCCTCAAACTGCGTGATAAAAGCCTGTGAAGATCAAGGCTGCTGCCTCCGAGATTGGCCGGGCGAAAAAAAAAATCTGTGTGCAAGATAAAATGCCCACAGTGGAGAGAGAAGATATCAGCGGCCTCTGGGACCAAGGTTACTGGGAAGGCAGTGGGCCAGGAGGCCGGACCGTGGAGCTTTACTGGACAGCCGCAGTACATCACCACTGACAGTGCTGATGGGAAACGGCCTTCATCGTGTTTCATATCCTGACGATTAACAATCGAGATGCTCACCTTCCCGTGCTTCATTAGATGCGTCGCACTGCTGTGAAACCGCCCCTCCCCCCCCCATTAATAAGGCTTTTCTAAAGTTTTTACAACCAGTTCATTAACCCACCAATATATGAGAAAAAAAAATGGCAGAAACTACCATTATCGCCAAAGCATTAAGACACTGATAAACTCCAATTACACTTTAATTTGTTTGGTCACAGGGCTGGCAAAAGCCGCCGTGGTACAGGCAGGTTGGCTATATTTTCAGGATTTCTGCTTTTCCACGTCATCGTACTAAGGAATGTAGGTCAAAATGTCCTCAGCAGCCAACGGATAGCAATAAATCCCTGGAGTATTCCAAACTACGTCAGGAGATTAAGGATTAAAGATTGTTAAGGAAGAACGAGATAAACGCATCAGCGACAGAGGTTGTACATATCAGGTTTAGAGCAGTAAATGCAGTGCTTCCCAATCCGGTCCTCCGGGACCCACAGCCGGTCCACGTTTTTGCTCCCTCCCAGCTCCGTGGCAGACAGTCCACATTATTGGAGGAGGACCCTCCGTGGATCCTCGAGGGCTGGATTGGCAGACACTGATAAATGGACAGGTTTTCTGCTAGAAGGACCTCTGACTGGATGGGACCTTCCATCTTGACCCTTGAATACAAACTGGCTTCTGGGAAAAAAAAAAGACAACTGCGATCCTCCCCACCCCCCAAGTGCAGAGACCAGCTAGCATTCCAAAGCAAACAGAGCCTCTGACAAGGACTGCAGGGCGTGGCCTGCTGACACCTTGGTGCAAATAGCAGCCAAGTATTCAGTTCCCATTGGGAGATATTGTGAAGGTAAGTTATCCAATCAGGTATTAGCAGGTGAAAAACTGCTTGAGCAATAGGTTGCAAGTTCCAATCCCAGCAGCTGTACCTTGCTGCTAAGCGGATTCTAAAAAAATGTCCGGCAGCGGAGTCTTGCCACGTTTCTGGGCAGACACATTATACACGACGTCATCATGAACGAGCATGAAGTGCGGCGGCTCTTACGGTGCCGTGCGCCACCCGCCTGTGACTCAGGCCTTCAGAAAGGCGGCTTCTCCATGCACCCGGAGCTCACGCTGGCTCACACCCACGCCTCCACGCGGCGGCCGCGGCCAAGCGCTTCCCCACGTCGGCGTGCCAGCCACTTTGTTCCAGCAGCCCTTCATCTTACCTGACAAGCTCCCGCCCGGGTTTCTGTCCTCTCAGAAAGTCAGAACACAGCGTTTTCGTGAGACAAGCCTGAAAATGAAGGATCGCGGGAGCACAAAGGAAAAATACTCAAAACCAGTACAAGCCACTTGTTTGTCAGTGCTGTGGGTTTAAACCGAGATCTGTTCCTGCTTCTCAAATACAGCATTTCTCAGGGGACACATTACACACAGCACATCAACAGAAGACATTCACATTCTCATGAAAATTAAGTTTGAGTCAAGAATAACTAAATTACTACAACACTATTAAAAGCTTAATTGATAAGTATATATCTATTTCTCGTCAGTCAAGGACAATTTGCAATTAATTAAAAAGCAGAATTAAATATAAAGTTGCTTTACACTGCTCAATAATGGCTCAGTATCACAGTTAGACTCATTAGCCGTGTTTTAATTAGCTTCCTGTAAGACCATATTAGCATTCAACAGTCTCCCGGAGAGCCGGAGTTAGCAGAGTCTAGGGATCCAAGAAGAGCCTCGGAGGATTAAAGGCAAGACACTGACACTGTTGAAAAGATCACGGCGCCTTTAAACGAGGACCTGGAGCTTTCAGTCGCAGTGCCCAGGCACCGGCCGGCAGAGCCCAGGCACCGGCCGGCAGAGCCCAGGCACCGGCCGGCAGAGCCCAGGCCACCTTCGATGACTTTTTTTTTTTGCTTTATTTGCCATTTGTACAAGTCTGACTAGTGACACTGACTCTTTTCACATATCCCATCATGCTCTCCTTTCAGACACACGCATACACACAGGTGAGAATAATGCTTGGGGTACCTGGTGAGCTTGGCTGTAGTCGTACCTGGAATAGTCACGTGCGACGGGGAAATGAGAACCAAGGGATGGACCTTGCTGCTGAAGGGGGGGGGGGGGGGGGGGGGGGTCACGTCCCACACAGTGGCAGGCATAGGGGTCCATCTCCAGTGCAGCTGGGATCATTATGTGACATGTTTTAATGACTTATACAGAACTTTGATGGATTGATAGATGGACTGATAGACAGACAGACATAATCCTGTTTCATTCACAAAACTGAAGGCATGCGGCAATGAATGATCATTACTCTGGGCTGGACAACTAAAATTGCACACCCTAGTTTTTCTGGGTCTCAGCATGCTTTTTCTTAATCGTTTGGGTATCCGGGGGCGACCGGGAGCCAGAGCAGGTGAGGTGAGGTGATGTGATGGAGTGTAGGCCCTCATGCATCCAGACCAACAGGTTAGCGGGTGATTTATCGGTGGTATAAAGTGGCACGCTGATGTGAGGAGAGCAGAGAGATGGATTCATTTAGAGCCCGATGCCTAATGACGTGTCATGATGTGACTGTGCTGTTCTCCCGGGGAAAAGAGCAGACGGATGGGAGGTGCAGGGCAGGAGGGGGTGCGCACTGTTTTGAGTGTTTCAAACACTCTCCCTGCAAAAACACACGGTTTCTGCGGTGAGGATTAATTTGCCGTCTTTCCACGTACAACAGACACACATGGTGCATTAAACCGGGAGTTCAGACAGTGGATGAAATTCAGCAGATTCCAGCAAAGTCTCAACATGAATAACTACTGTTCTTTAACTACTAGCAAGAAGCCTTTGAGAACGTTGGTTGGGGGGAGAGGGAGAGTTTCGGATAAAATTTAACAGACATCATGGCATGCAAAGAGTGATCAATAAAAGCAGAACAGCTGCCAGAACTTAAAAGCACCTTCTTCCCAATTCCCCTGCAAAACGGGAAATTAATGAACCCGCCACACTGAGGAGTCTTTGGACACTGGGGTGTGAGATCTGGTGACAGCTTTTCACTGGCTGGTTTGTCCCCTCCCCAGTCTACAAAGCACCGGTCTGAAGCAGCCCGAAAACAAGCTTAAAAATACACAAGTACTGAGTTTATTTGAAAGTCAGTAGTGGATCTGGAAGAGTGAAGTCCGAGGTTATAGCTTTCAGATATAAAATCCTATACAAAGATACTATGAGGAACTAGCTTGGTACACTGCGCTTCCGGGATATTACTCAGCATGGAACAGTAACGGTACACAGACACCTTTTTATGCTCCCTGTCATTTCATAGCCCAGTGGCCATTTTCCAGAGTATTTGCCAATTACTCCAATGCAGTGTTAATTAAAAAACGACAGTTAAAAATCTGCTTCTCTAAACACCGCACAGAAATAAAACCCACAGACTCTTAAAATCATATATACAGACATCTGTACAGGGTGGGAAGGCAGAGAAGTCGTCTCCTCAACAGTCCGCACTATGATAAAACGCGGTCACTGCCGATCCGGCTGCAGCCTCCTATCCCAGTCAGCTGGAACTCGTCCGGCGCGGGATGGGCGAGTGGCGTCCCAACGGGCCACGATCCTGCGATCTGCAGCAGCAGGAGGGGTTCCCCTTCCGGGGAGGTCGCGGGGGGCCAAGGGAGGGAGGGAATAAACTTAAAAAAAAAAAAAAGCACGTAAAAGTACTGAATGAGGTATTCATCTAGTCGCCAAGGAGGAAGGAAAGTAAGGGGCTGGCAGGACGAGACCGTCACAGCGCCGCTCTCGGCCGTCGCTCATTGTACGATTCCCGAATCGACTGACGGCTGCTTCCTCTTAGGTGGGGGGGGCGGCGGAGTCTTGCTGGGCAAAGGTGGGGGCACATGCTGCAACAAAACAAAACAAAAACATCCTAATTTCACGGAGCGATTTTTCTTGTCCCGTTACTTTAAAACGGTCTGCGGTGGAACAGGAAGAGGCGGGGCATACACTTTTCTGATTGGCTGGCGAGCAGGGGGTGGATTAATGCATAGGCTATAGCCCGAGCAGACATTTGGGCTCTGCCCCCACCTCAGGAGAAATGGCAACACCTGAGTGCCCATGCTGATGCCAGTGTAGCGCCTCTAGATGAATTAATCTGCCCCTGGCGGTAAGACCAGGAACCAACCTGATAACTGCTTTTTTTGACGGGTTTCATTCGTACGTCCGACAAGCGACTGGCTTGCCACTTTTCACTGCTACCCTGTGCCCCCCCGTACCATCTGCCATCCCACACTTCAAGCAGCATTGCGTTGCCACTCTGAAGGCCGCAGGTCTGATCCCTTATCACTGAGCGCCCTTCAGCGGGTAGCGGGCGCGGTCAGGAAGCTCGGTGCGGTCGGCCGTTCAGTCAGAAGGTGCCAAACGCTCTAGACATCCACCGGGAACTGAGTGCCATAAAGGGACCTGGGCTGACATGTTTACAAATGGTCAGAGCTAATTGTCACCCCAGGATTGCAGACGGCCACCTCCGCCCCCCACGGGGCTGTGAAGGGAAGCCCCGCAGGGCAGGGGTGGGGGGGGTGAACATCTGCTCCGGTTAAATCACCGTGGCGACACGCACGTCTGTTTCCATCTCCCAACCCGTCCCGCACCAGAGACTGAGGATAAATGAGATGTGGTGGCGGACTGGGGAGGAGGAGGACGGCGCAGGGGGGGGGCAAGGTCTCCCTGCTGCGAGACGGGCCCACATGGTCTGATTAATACTGGGGGGGCGAGAGGTAAAACTCTGATGTGCCGCAGCTTAAATAATGCCGGCCAGACACCCCCTCTGCCATGGGACGCAGAAGCCGCATTTCTCCAGACGTACCCGCTGAGAGGGGGCCTGCGGCAGGGTGGGGCTGCCTGGATCCTGGCTCTCCAGGTTGCTGTAGTCAGCCATGCTGCCCTTGACTGGTAGCGGAGGGGGTGTCTCTCCTTTCTCCAAGGCGGCGGTCCCGTTCAGCTCCAGATCTGTGGCCAGAGGAGAAGGATACGTCACAGGCGGTTTAGGGGGTGGGGGGGGGGGGTTATGAGTATTGTTGCTATTTGTTCCAACAAGAAAGAGAGATGCAATTTACATAAAGGCCATGCTATTCAATTAATATAATGCTTATGCTGGTTCTGATCCAAGGCAAATGTGCTTCTTGTCCATACAGTGGTGATGCCTGAAGATATTTCATTCCAAAATTTTATTTGTGCAGATCTAGAAGTTCAGCTGTTTTGTTTGTATTCACTATGATGTGGTTTCAGGCAGAAGGTCTGGGGCCTCTGTCACAGGAGCTTCAGACGCTTCTCAGGACACCCAGGGCCCACATCTGTACATGAACACGCTTCCTCTGCTGGCAGGTGGGCCAGAGAGGAGCGCTTACTCACTGGAGGCCGACAGCAGGCTGCAGCCCTGCTTGGCCCGGGGAGCGATGGCCGGCGGCGCTGCGGAGGAGGCCTGGGTCGCCGAGGGCGCCGGGGACACAGAGAGGCGGCGGTCTCCCTGCAACACGTTGATCAGCTGACTCTTTGGTCTCTGAGGCCTGAGGGGGCTGATCTGAAGGCAGCGTGGCGGGGGAATCGAGTTACACTCTATCCGACGGGCATTTTGCAACAGATACATAATGGCACGACATTGAAGTTTCACTGTAAACTGGAAGCTGTGAAAGACCAAGGCTAACCAGACAGACGCAGAGATGTAAAAATCCACCGCCATCATCATCAAGCAGCTGTAGCACAGTGACACAGTACAGCAATCGGATCACTCTGCACTTGCTGTGACCAGCCAAGGCGCTCTTCCCCCAGAAGGACCCCGCGGCAGCGGTAGCCTGGCTGCTGCCCGCCACGGTCGCTAACGCTAATGCTAAGGCCTCGCTTCAGACACACTCCTTTAGCAGGTTAGCAAGGCTTGCTAAGCTGCCCCTTTGCTCTTTTCCTGGAGACCCACCTCTATAGACTGTACTCTGGCACCTGATCGTAAGCGCACAGCAGTAGCGTTAGCGCGCTAAAGCGCTAACGGCGCGCTCCGGGCTCTCACCGTCTCAGACAGGATGACGGCCTCGGGGGCTGGGGCCGGGGCCTCCGGGACCCGCAGGTCCTTCTCGAAAGCCTCCTGGTGTTTGCTTTGCCTCTTGTCCTTCTTCTTGTCCTTCTCCTTGCGCTCCTTTTCGGGCTCATCGCGGTCCAGCTTGTCCTGGGACTTGTAGTACAGTTTCTTCGGCAGGAGGGGCTCCAGGGCGAAGCTGGTGGGGGGTGTTCACATGGAAACAGCGTGAATCCCCTCCCATAACCTCACACTGGCTCGTTCGTTACTTCTACCATCTCTGAGAGCGTGACTGGCAGTGGAGACATGCGCGTGTGCAAGACACCTAGGCTTGGGATTTTGAGACAGATACAAAACAAAAATAAAAAGTGTAAAGGTGGGAAAATGTTTCAGTGTAACAGTAATTTCCTGAAAAAGTAACTCTCCTGAGTACGATTCAAACAAGTACTTTTTCCTCTATGAGTAACTTGAGTAAATGTACCATGTTACTATCCACCTCTAGGAGGCAGTATTGGGAACGTAGTGTGTTAAAGGGGCACATGGCTGGGCTATGGGCGGTGCGGGAGGCACGATACCTCGCAACGGCACGACTAACACACCAAACGCCCAAAGACAACGCACCGTGAAGTGCTTTTGGAAGCATTACTGAACAAGTCAGTCAAAAAGTCTGCGGAAGCTGTTTCAGAGGAACATTCCTGTTAATATCATAATGAGATTAATCAGAGCAGAAAATGCAGGAGAATGGAAAAAATCGCTAGATGTGTTTGTAGTCGGTTACAGCACAAGAAAACCGGGTTTATAAGGCGAGGAAATCAGGACATGTCGCTGAAATGAAATTATACTTTTCGGGGCCTATAAATATTTCATTTAAATCTTTCTATTATTTGGATTTTGAATTGCTGCCACCAGAATCCAGTGGGGGGCAGCCCAGCTGATCATTCCACTTCACATCAAAGTCATCGGCTGGGAAACGGGCAGCCATGTTTGCTGCCGTTGATGCAGGACTGAGGAAGGATGCGGGCGGTGTGACGTACCCGTCGGAGCCCGGCCTGGAGGGGGAGTTGTCGGAGGACAGGGAGGTGACGGACGCCACGGAGGCCACAGACAGGGGGCGCTGTGAGGAGGGCATGGTGAAGGAGCGCACCATAGAGCGCGGCCGGCTGCCTCGCCGCTCCTCCACCACCGGCTGTGGAAACGAACGCACGGGGGAGGGGAGGGGTGTCACAGAGTTCTGTGCCCCCCCTCCCCGCTCAGCACAGCCTGCTTGCCCACCCACATGGTAGAGCGAGCAAACAAGGCAACTCAAAGTGGGGAAAATCACAGATAAACATCTTAACTGCGTGCAGGCTGACAGAGGCAGCGTGGCCCCCGCTGGCATTTAAGAGCGTCGGTGGGGTGCTATCAGCCTGCTCGTTAGCGGGGGCCCCCACCCCTCCCCCGGAGATCTTCACTCAGGTACACAGCTCACTCCTCACCGTTACTATTTTTGAGACTGGAGCGTTTTAAATCAAGGAAGGATGAAGCTGTTGACGTGGAAGCTGCCAGAAGACTCCCCAGTAGCAGCAGGGTGTTTGGGGTGGGGGGGGGTGGGTTGAGGGAGCAGTTTGTGGGGCCAGCCTGTAGGGGGCGCCGTGGGGAATCTCACCAGGGTCTTGACACCGTACTGCTTCTCGATCTTCTCGCGCAGCTGCTTGAAGCAGGCCTCCAGCCGCTCGTGGAACGGCCGCAGTGCCTCCGTCACCTTCTCGCCGTGGATGCGCACGCCCTCCGCCAGGTACGGGATCTGTAAGCACACACGGCATCAGCACCTCTCCCGGGAGACACGCCCCCGCCTGCATCAGGGGGCAGTGGCCTCCAGGGGGCGGCAGAGAGACCCAGCAGGACCGGAAGACAGCACGGGGACTTATTTTGGGGACAGAGTGAACAGAACAGATGGGTGTCAGGTCAGAGCCAGATCAGGAGGCACAAGCGCCGCTTCTCAAAAGGAGTCTGGACGATGAAGGTGACAGGAGGAGGATCGTGCGGGTGAAGCGGGAGGGACAGGCTGGCTGAGGGGGCACGAGTGGGCCTGCATCTCTGCCGGACGGGGAGGGCAGAGGAGGGGGAGGGCAGAGGAGGTGCAGGGCAGAGGGATGAGAAGGGAAGTCAAAGGTGTACAGATGGAGCTCAGTGACAGAGACCAGAAGGCCATGGAGCTCTGGCAGACTGTAGATGGAACGCTGACGCACGGGAGCCCAGTCGCTAATCGAGGTCCTGCCCCACGGTGGGGGGGCATTAAAATGTATGTAGGTATTTTTAAATATATTTATGAACTTTGGGAAAACGGGGCAATCTGGGGAAAGAGAGACAACAATCACATGCACCACACAAGGTCGTCTACCGAATCAGCATGTAATTTCCCTAAATCGTTTACATGCGGCGTTCGATTAAACGGCCCAGCCGGCAGAGGGGAGCCCAGATTTCGGCACGCAGGACGGAAGAGCGAAGATTGATCCGCTTTCCAGATCGAGATGCTTATCCACTAACTCCACACGCTTGACTGTACAGGCTCAGATGCTGGCGGTCTCAGTCCAAAGCCACACATGCAAATGAGATTTACTCTAACAAATCCACTCATTAGCACTCAGCCTCGTTAGTCAGGTACGACCCAACAACCAGCATCCCCTCAGAGCCCTTAACCAGGCCTGTTTGTGTTCGCAGCCCATTCATTGAAGCCAGCGTTATGGAAGGACGATCAAAGGCAACAGTGGTTTCACACCACATGCAGAAAATGAGAGATGAAGTGATATTTATGAATTCACAAGCCCAGTCCACACAGCTGTAATCCGCGGGGGGCGGGGGAATCAATAAAGACGTTTATCCCAGTTCCCACAGGAAAGGCCTGACTGCTCGAGACGCCACTAAATCTGCGGTTACTCTGCACAACGCCGGGCTGCCCCGGCAGGCAAAGAGGCAGCAGCGAGATGCTTGGCAAAAACCAATCACGCTTATTTATGCCCGAGAGAGGCACTCCGAACACAGCCAACACTGAAGAACAGCACCCCCACCCACCCCCAACCGTTACCCCTGGCAACAGAGCCGCACCGGAACCACGACCTGCCGATCTCAATTTAGCAGAGATCAGTGCAGAGGAGACTCAGTTCAGACACTGGGTTTTTTTTTTTTTTTTTT